CACAATCTATATACATATACATATATACATATATAATATACATGTGTGTGTGCATGCATGTGTATATATATGTATACATATGTATATAGTGCATTATGTGCTTTAGGGTAGTAGTTCCTGATTTTTTTTTTATACCAAAACATGTTTTAAGGGTTATATGAATTACTTAGTAACTATATAGAGTATCAGGATTCAGAGGAGGGGTTGTTGATAATTCAGGATTTTTCTCCTGCTTCACTTCATATCCTAGGACACTTATTTATGATAACTTTGTTTGAATTGTCACATAAAGCATTCATCTTTGCAAACATTCAGGAACCAAGGCAGATTCTATGTTGCCGAGCTGCTTATGATTTAATAGGGGACCTAGGAAAGATGTGCACATGTGCTGTATGAAAAGTGAGTAATATATGTGGGAGTTTGGGGGGAGGGGAGAGAATCACATGGGTCAGATTTTTTTGGGATTCAGGGATTGGTCATTTACTCAGTGCTGTCAGTCTTATTTCCAAAGTGACTGAGGCTTCAGAAAAACAGCTCTTGGTGCCCACACCCCGGAGTTCCTTGACTGACGAAGCACAAGTTAGCGAAATTTCTAGAGTCATCTGCATTAATCAAAAACCTCTTGAGTGCTGTCATCGTGAGAGGATACAAAAAGAAAGATGACTGGTGCCTCCTTACGTGTACAGGGATGGGTGTAATCCCTAAGAAGGTTGGAGGGCCATGCTAGGCCGAGCCAGCACTGTTTGCCCCCCTCTCTGGAAGTACTAGTGCAAGCATGTCCCCAAAACCCACCTTTCCGGTGCTCTTCCATTAGACTGTCAGTATTAACTCATCATTGCCAGGCAGGCCTTATTTATTTTCCTTGTAAGCTATTATGCAACTTAAATCTGTGCTAGCACTATTTACTCAGATTTTGCCTGTTATCGTAACATTTAGCCCGTCTCCATTTTGTCCTTACTCTCCTTTCTAATCAGGCATTCCTTTGAATTGTCATAAATCTTCTTTGATGTGTTTACATTTTATTTACTTATTTATTTTTTTATTTTAGAGAGAGAGTGAGAGAGAGAGAGAGAGCACAAGAGGGGGGAGCGGGAGAGGGAGAAGCAGACTCCCTGCTGAGCAGGGAGCCCGATGCGGGGCTCGATCCCAGGACTCCAGGATCATGACCTGAGCCGAAAGCAGTCGCTTAACCAACTGAGCCACCCAGGCGCCCCGATGTGTTTACATTTTAATGTTATCTATTTTAAGCCTCTTTATCTTTCATTCATCTCCTACAGTTTGTTGGCTTTAGTCACAGTACCTCAGATTCCAAATCCTTGCTTCCCTTCTCCTGCCATTCCTACAGCAATGTTTACTCTGCCTACCACTTCACAGATCTCTCTTCTCTTAGTCTCCAGCTCCTACCCCATCTCAACTGTGCTTTGTGGCCTCAGGAAAAATCCTGAGGTAGGCCTGTGAAGTTTGCCTTTGCCGCCTCTCGTCCCAGTTCTCCCACCTTTTTTCCATACCTTGTCCTACCTCTGTCTTAAATTACGTCATCACAGATGTGCTGCTCACCAGCTGTGGGTGAGGGAGTTGGCCAGCCTTAGACGGGATTCCAAGAAAGGAGTATACCCTCTGGTGTGGGAGGTAGATAGATCCGTAAATAACTAAAATAAGGTCTGAGGTATCATAAATGAGATATTCGAGAGACAAAATTAGAGTAGTGTGAGTAGGAGAAAGGAATGAGGAGCACTGCAGAAAAGCCTCAACCTCTACTAGCTAATTATGACACAGCAGAGTTGCATGACATTGGACCCTCCCTTGTCTTGCTGGGAGCTGTGTCCAGTCTGATCCACTTTGGCTAGGGTTATCTTTTGCTAACTGCTTCTGTTTTCCCAGGAAATCCTGAGCAGACTTAGTGGGTATGTGTGTCCACCCCTGTGTCTGATTCCTGACTGTCTCTTGCTGCTGTCTTCCATTTCCAGGCTCCTCATATGATCTTGGGGCCTTGTTCTCCCACTGCAGTCTTCCTGCAGTCTCGCCACTGCATGTGGCTGGACAAGTTCAGTCCTATTTCTCAGGGCTGCTATATGTATTCTTATTGGGGGCTTAGGGCAGAAGGAGAAAGTAGGGTTGGAGGTGACAGAGGCAATAGGAAGGGGCATTGTCAGGTTGGAATTTCTCTCGGTTTCAGCAACTAAGGTATATATATATATGTACACTTCCCAAACTGACCCAGTTCTGGTATAGTTGTTTTTGCAGAGTCACCAATCTCATCGGTTAAGATGGAAAAGAACCATAAAAAGACAATGGTAATAATAGGCTGAGTTCTGACCTATTTCTCCTTGGATACTTTCCCAAGAGATAGAGATAGGATAATGGGGAATTTGGTTATCAGGATGATGTTTGGCGTTTAAATACCTTGCCTGTGGTGAGAGTAAGGGCCGTAGCCTCCCTGTACCATCTGTAAGTGTTGTTAACTCCTAGCTCTTGGAACTCTAGCCTTTGAAAAAGTATGCACTCAAGTGTTTCCAAAACACTTGTGGAAATCTGAGCTGGAACTTGCTATTGACAAATCACAGGAAGATGCATCTTTCTAGATTTAGTTGAAAATCTCCTATTTAGAGCAGGTCAGTTATGCTCCTACAAACTCACTTAGACCCATTTCGCTTTTTTGTGCTTTCATCAGTCAGGGTAGTAGGTCATTTCATGACTCTGAATCTCGCATATTACATATCTCTTCTGGAACCAGTAAATCCTTCCAGAGAAAGTCGTAGAAATACTGGCTTTCTAAAGTGAGCTTCAGAGTGGGAGCAGTTGGTACACAGAAATGTTTATTGAATGAGTAACATTTTAGTAACCTCCAGGAAATTTAGTAACAGCTATTACTCAGTTTATGGACTGTGTAACTGGGAAGAAAGTTGTAAAACAAATTGCAGTAACATATTTACAAATAACATTAGCAATCATTTCTTATGGAATACACACTTGGTAACAATGTCAACCTGTACTTACATATTGGTTTATGCTTTTCACAAGGTTTCTATGTATGAAAGCCCTTGAGATGATCTAAATGAGTACTGCTGTCATCCCCATTTTACAGATGCCTGAAATAAAGGCTAAGATGCCAGTATGGTAGTAGCTGGGATTAGAACTCATAACCTAGTTTAGTACTCTTTCTTTTGCACACTGTTCAGACAAAAAGTTTTCACGAATCTGTAATAATAAGAGAAAAGTAAAGCAATGGCAAGTTTTTTTTTTTTTACCATACTACTTTTTTTCAATTTAAGATGCCCTTTATTCTGAGATTCTTTCATTAAATACTAAGTGCCCAGCTATGAACCAGCTCTGTACACAGGCACTTGATACAGTGTTGAACAAGGCAGACAGGGAGCTTGTTTTAATGGAGGAGGAGAAATGATAAATAAGTAAACAAGTGATCATTTAACAGTAAGTAAGTGCAGGTAGCAATAAGAGCTTGAAGAAAATAAAGTAGAGAAAGGCTGGTGGTGGTGGTATGTTTCTATGTGATATATTCCTGAAAATGAACATCAAGTTTTAATGTACATAAAGGGAGATTCCTTCCTGAGGAATCCTAGCAATCATAAAATTTCTTCAGGGTGGTGTTTGGAGGAGTCATTCATGTTAATATGTATTTTTCTTTTTCTTCAGAATTGACCTAAAGTCCAAAATTGGCTTAAGTCCAGAGAGTGTCTGGTTGAGGCTAAAGATTTGCTTCTTCAGGAACCTTGATGATTGATTACCAGACATTTCATGATATTGAGGCTATGAGAGCCAAACTTATTGTTGGTTAGATGTACCATTTTCACTCATCTTTATGTAATAACGAAGGCAAAACACTAGACAACAATACTTTCTTAATTTTTTTTTTTTAATTAGCAGCAGAACTTTCTTCAAAGAAAATTCCAGATGCCCAGTCTATAAAACAGTTGTGGCTTCAAGCCACAAGCTTACTGTCCTCTTTTCCACACCTTAATGGCCTCTGAGGAATAGTTGAGAAGTCACTAAGTCTTTGCCTAACACAGGATGGAAACCCCAATCAAAAATTCAAATTGTAAATCCTGTCATAAAAGGATAGCTGTAGGGGCGCCTGGGTGGTTCAGTCGTTAAGCGTCTGCCTTCGGCTCAGGTCATGATCCCAGGGTCCTGGGATCGAGCCCCGC